AATGAAATGTCTGGTTTGGGGGCAGCTTTCTGTCAGACAGAAGTGTTGGAAAAGGCCATTGCCCCTTTTCTTTTTTTGTTAATCTTCCCCTGAGGATATGTTTTCAATTGATTTTCAGAGAGAGTGGAAGGGAAGGAGGGCAAGGGGGGTAGGGGTAGAGGGGGAGAGAGAGAGAAACATCAATGTGAGAGACACATCAATTGGTTGTCTCCTGCACCTGACCTTTAAATCTGTAGTTATCATGTCAGAAATGAAGGATACACTACCTGAAAGGAAGAATAATTTACAGGGAGTCAACAGTAGAGTAGATGAAGCCAAGAATCAAATCAGTGATTTGGAATAGAAGGAAGCAAAAAACACCCAATCAGAACAGCAAGGGAAAAAAAGAATCCAAAAAAAATGAAGATAGTGTAAAGAGCCTCTGGGACAACTTCAAGGTATAGACATTTGCATCATGGGGGTGCCGGAAGGAGAAGAGAGAGAGCAAGAAATTGAAAACCTATTTGAAAGAATAATGACAGAAAACTTTCCTAATCTGGTGAAGGAAATAGATATACATGCCCAGTAAGCACAGAGAGTCAGAAACAAGATGAACCCAAGGAGGCCCACACCAAGACACATCATACTTAAAATGCAAAAGGTTAAAGACAAAGAGAAATTCTTAAAAGCAGCAAGATAAAAGCAATTAGTTACCTACAAGGGAGCTCCCATAAAACTGTCAGCTGATTTATCAACAGAAACTTTGCAGGCTAGAAGCGATTGGCAAGAAATATTCAGTGATGAAAAGCAAGGACCTACAACCAAGATTACTTGGAAAGCTATCACTTAGAATCAAAGGACATAGATAGAGCTTTCCAGACAAGAAAAAGCTAAAGTTCATCACCACCAAACCAGTATTACATGAAATGTTAAAGGGTCTTCTTTAAAAAGAAGAATTTTTAAAAAGATCAAAATATGAACAATAAAATAGCAATAAATACATATCTATCAACAACCTAATCTAAAAAATAAACAAAATGAATAAACAGAACAGAAATAGGTTCATAGATACAGAGAACATTTTGATGGTTGCCAGATGGGAGGGAGGCTGAGAAGATAGGTGAAAAAGGTGAAGGGATTAAGAAGTACAAATTGGTTGTTACAGAATAGTCACTGTGATGTACAGCATAGGGAATATAGTCAATATTATAAAATTATTATGTTAGATAGGTATGAGATTTATCAGGATGAACACTTGCTAAGTTATATAATGTTCTGAAACTAATATAATATTGTATGTCAACTATAATAAAAAATAAAAAATGATCATACACCATGACCAAATTATATTTGTTTTTGGAATATAAAGATGTTTCAACATATGAAAATCAATCAGTGTAATGCACCACATTAACATAATGAAAAAAACCCGCATGATCATCTCTACTGATGCAGAAAAATCATTAAACAAAATTCAACACCTTTAATGATAAAAACATTCAACAAAATAGGAACAGAAGTACATTACCTCCACATAATAAAAGGCATATATGAAAAACACACAGAGAACATCATACTCAATTGTGAAAGACTGAAAGCTTTTTCTTTAAGGTTAGGAAGAAGGTATGGATGCCCACTTTGGCCACTTCTATTAAACTCAGTACTGGAAGTCGTAGGAAGAGCAATTAGGCAAGAAAAAGAAGTAAAAGGCACTCAAAATGTAAAGGAAGAAGTAAAATAATCTCTATTAGTAGATTATATGATCTAATGGAAATCCTAAAGATTCTATTTAAAAACTATTCTAATGAATTCAGCAACATAACAGGATACAAAATAAATATGCAAAAATTAGTTCCATTGCTATAAACTAACAATGAACAATTCTGGAAATTATGAAAACAATTCAATTTATAACAGCACCAAAAAGAATAAAACAGGAACTAATTTAAACAAGTAGATGAAAAATGTACAATGAAAATTATAAAACAATGGTAAAAGAAATTAAAGAAGACATAAATGGAAATACATTCCACATTCATGGATCATAAGATTTAATATTGTTAAGATGTTAACACTATCCAAAATGGTCTATAGGGTCAATGTAATCTGTCAAAACCCAAGTGACTTTTTTTGCAGAAAAAGAAAAACCCATTTTAAAATTCATATGGAACCTCCAGGGACCTCAAATAGACAAAACACTATTGAAAAGAAAGAACAAAATTAGAGGATTGACATTTCCTGATTTCAAAAATTTACTACAAAGTTACAGTAATCAAAACAGTTTGGTACTGACATAAAGTTAGACATACAGACAAATGTAATAGAATAGAGAGCCCAGAAGGAAACCATCAAATATATGGTCAAATAACTTTTAACAAAGATACCAAGATCATTAAATGGAGAAAAGACAATCTTTCCAAGAAATGGTGCTGGAAAACTGAATATGCGCACACACACACACACACACAAATAAAGTTGGACTTTTACTTAACACCATATGCAAAAAATTAGCTCAATATGGATCAAAAACCTAAAAGTAAGGCCTTAGAAGAACATAAGGCAAAAGTTTAATGGCATTTCATTTGGCAATGTTTTCTTGGATATGACAAGAAAAGCATAGGCAATAAAAGAAAAAGTAGACATAGTACTTCATGAAAAATTTAAACATCTGTTCATCTAAAGACAGTGTCAACAGAGTAAAAAAGCCCACAAAATGCAAAAAGTATTTACAAATCATATATTTGATAAGGGATTAATACCCATAATATGAAGAACTTTAAAATTCAACAAAGAGATCTTGAGTTCTTTGGAAACGTATACTGTACACCCAAAGACCCAGCATCCAGAGATCGGCTGCTAACCCGGAGACACCGGATCTGGGACAGCGCGACTACGTGGAGTCCTGCTTCTCATGGAAAGCAGAACCAAGCAACAGCAGCCTCCTGATCACCACACCCTACTCAACATCTAGATATGTCAGTGAGATCAAACATGGGTAGACAAAGAAACCCCCAAAGGAAAGAAAAGGAGGACTCGTCAGAAAAGCAGCTAAGTGATACAGAGGCATTCAACATGACAGAAAAAGAATTCAGAATAAGGGTCCTAGAGTGCATAAACCTGATGGAGGCAAAAATCAACAACTAAAATTCAACAAAGAAAGCCAAACAACCCAATTAAAAAATGTGCAAAGGACTGAATAGACATTCTTAAGCAAAAAACAAAAACAAAAAAACACCCCAAAAACTCACAGACACAGACAACAGTATGGTGATTACCAGAAGGAAAGGGGGACGGGGAGAGTAGAATAGGGTAAAGGGCAGATAAATGGTGATGGAAGGAGACTTGACTTTGGGTTGTGCACACAATACAATGTAAAGATGATGTCATAATTTTATTAACCAATGTCACACCAATAAACTCAATAAAAATATAAAACAACAAAAACTAAAGAAAGTGTGTTCATCCAGACTGGTAAAAAAAAAAAAAAGATATATCCATGGTCAAAAATCACATGAAAAGATGTTCAATGTCACCAATCATTTAGAAAATGCAAATCAAAAATATAATTAGTCCTGGCCATGTGGTTCAGTTGGTTGGAGCATTGTCCCATACACTAAAAGGTTGTGGGTTGCCCCAGCTGGTTTGGCTAGGTGGATAGAGCATCGGCCTGTGGACTGAAGGGTCCCAGATTCTATTTCGGTCAAGGGCACATGCCTGGCTTGCGGGCTCAATCCCCAGTGTGGGACATGCAGGAGGCAGCCAATCAATGATTCTCTCTCATCATTGATGTTTCTATCTCTCTCTCCCTCTCCCTACCTCTCTAAAATCAACAAAAATATATTTAAAAAAATTTTTTTTCAAAATAAAAGGTTGTGGGTTCGATTTCCAGATAGGGCACATACGTAGGTTGTGAGTTTGATACCCGGTCAGGGCGTGTAAGGAAGGCAACTGATAGACGTTTCTCACATCAATGTTTCTCTCTTTCTCCCTTTCTCTCTCTAAAAGTCAATAAAAACAAACAAACATATGCTTGGGTGAGCATTAAAAAAACCCCACAAAACTACAATGAGATACCACCTGACACCCATAGGAATGCTACTATAAAAAAAACAAAAAAACCCAAAAAACAACAACCAACAACCAGAAAATAACAAGTGTTAGCAAGAATGTGGAGAAATTGAAAAGCTTGTGCATTGCTAGTGGGAATGTAAAATGGTACATCCATTGTGGAAAACAGTATGATGGTTCCTCAAAAGTTTAAAAATAGAATAACCATATGATCAAGCAATTCCACTTCTGGTTATATACCCAAAAGAAGTAAAGGCAGGGTCTCAAAGAGATTTATACCCCTACTCAGGGAAGCATTACTCATGACAGCTAAAACACAGAAGCAACCCAATATACATTTAAGAAAATATGGATATATTAAATACAATATATATACACAATGGAATATTATTCAACTTTTAAAAGAATAGAAATTCTGACATATACTACAACATGAATGAACCTTGAGGACATCACACTAAGTGAAATGAGCCAGTCTCTAAAAGACAAATACTATATGATTCCATTTATATGAGGTACATAGAGTAGTCAAATTCATAGAGACAAAAATTTAAATGGTCGTTCAGGGATTGGGGGAGGTGGAAATGAGAAGTTATTGTGTAAATGGGTACAAAGTTTAAGTTTTACAAGATGAAAATAGTTGTAGACATGGGTAATGGTGATGTTTTCACAACATTATAAATATATTCATTACCACTGAAGTGTACGTGCAAAAATGGGTAAGAAGTTAATATATGATTATGTTTATTGCACTAAAAAAAGTGAAAAATAAACTTCTTGAATCCTGATCAATCTAAAGTGTTTTGTGGCTGGCTATTCCCAGAGAGACGTTTCCACACTTACTCTTTATCCATTTCCATCCCTTATTCCGTGTTTCTAACCAAACTAAACCCTGGATAGCTCCTGAGTTCTCAAAAAGAAATCAAGGAAAGAAAATAAAATCTTTGGCTTACCAGGGTCCAGAAAGGACTGGCCTTCCCCAGCAGCACCGTAGCTCAGCTCCTGTGGGATCCACGCATCTGCGACCGGGGCCTCGGGGACAGGTCCCATTGCTTGGAGTGGGGGTACTTCCACATGGATGTTTGGTGGTATGTCTGCCATTCCAACTGCTGCTAGGTCTTCCAAGAGTATTTCCTGCCTATCAATCTGGGGAAAATGCCAGAACCCATCACTCTAATATCTAGACCATCAGTGCCCAGGAGCAATATAATGCAAGCCAACAAAGTCATTTTAAATTTTCCAGTGGTCATATGAAAAAAATAAAAGAAATAATAATATAATAATATGCATTAACAAAATATACATATATAAAATAACACAATTTCATAATGTAATCAGTATGAATTATTAATAATATATTTCACCTACTTTATTTTTCACCTTAAGTCTTCTGAAAGTGGTGTGCATTTTATACTTACAGCATATCCCAATTTGGACTAGCCAAATTTCTAGTGCTCAAGAACCACCTTTGGCTGGTGCCTATCATACTGGCAATGCAGGATTAGACTGCACGAAGACAAAATTTCATGTGGTAAGCCAAACAAGGAGACACAGAAAGGAAGGGAAACTATAAACAATTCTATCCTAGGGTCAGGAAACTTTGGAAGAATCGTGTTCATGCAGGCTAACTACAGAATCCCATCAACACACAAGACTCCAGTGCCACTAATGCCTAACTAGAAGCACTTTCTCCCTTCTCCAAAGACGCTGCCGTGTTCAGCTATAGCAGTGATGGCGAACCTATGAGGTGACACGCGAACTCATTTTTTTGGCTGATTTTTCTTTGTTAAATGGAATTTAAATATATCATATAAATATCAAAAATATAAATCTTTGTTTTGCTATGGTTGCAAATATCAAAAAATTTCTATATGTGACATGGCACCAGAGTTAAGTTAGGGTTTTTCAAATGCTGACACGCCGAGCTCAAAAGGTTCCCCATCACTGAGCTATAGCAAGCCCCAAACAGGTTTTACTAGGTGGTTCTGAAAGAGGGTAGGGCCAGCACCCCCAGGAGATATTTTAGATATTGTAGTAGGTGGTGGCTATCAGAATTTAGTGGGCAGAGGTGGGAGTATAGATAATGCCAGGTAGCACAGTTAGAGTGTTGTCCCAATACACCAAGGTTGCGGGTTTGATGCCTGGTCAAGGCACATATAGGAATCAACACAATAGCCCTAGCTGGTTTGGCTCAGTATATAGAGCATTGGCCTGTGGAATGAAGGGTCCTGGGTTTGATTCCAGTCAAGGGCACATGCCCACGTTGCAGGCTCAATCCCCAATAAGGGGGCATGTAGGAGGCAGCCGATCCACGGTTCTCTCTCATCATTGATGTTAGTGGGCAGAGATGGGAGTATAGATAATGCACACTGTGCAGAATTGTTCCAGGTCCTTACCAACATTGGAGTGCCCCCCTCAAATATTCATATATGTAAAAAGAACCTGTCAAGAACCTCACCTTAATGGTCATATAATCACAAAATATTTTTGCAAATTTTAGCTTGACTTAACTTTTCTAGGAAAGCAATAATTTGAAAATCAAAGAAATACTATACTAATTGTTCAGATTCACCAAAGTCATTTGTCACTTTGGAAAATCACATGACCAGCAGCAACACCATTCATAGTGTTTGAGTTATATTGGTCTGAATTTCTGCTTGTTGCCTTCACAGCGAATCTGTGCAGTGAGGCAAGCATCTGACTTCATGAGATTTTCTGGTACGCTCAAGCCCAGACATGTGAATGCTGAAATGTCCATTAGTTTATAAGACACTATGTTCCTTTTCTTTTATATTACTTCTAAACCCTACTTGACTTATGGTTGACAGACCTTTTTGGAAAGAACCAGATAGTAAATATTTTAGGCTTTCTGGGTTGTGTTGGTCTGTTGCCTATTCTTTTTAAAAAAAACAACACTTTAAAAAAGTAATAACCATTATTAGCTCATGGGCTGTATAAAAACAGGTCTTGGATTGTTTTTGGCTCATAAACCACAGAGCACTTATTGTATGATGGTTTTGATTTTGTGTATATAAGTAGATTACACTATCTATAGGACAGTAAAAGAGGCACAACCAAATATTTAAGGAGTTTGGTTTAACAGTTGAGAATCACTGACCCATTTGCTGATTCCAACAAAAGGAAAATATAAAAATCACTGCAGGGAGGTCCTAGGACAAAAAGACAAAATGGCTGATCTAGTACCAGATGTGTCTGCTACTTCTTTTAGTATAATTACCCAGATCCCAAACTCTTTTCTTACCTGTGGCTCTGGTATCTCAAGTTCTCTCTGTAAGTCTTCTATCAGTGACACAACTCTTTCTCTATTATCTGGGCAATGTTCCCTCACCCAGGTCTCTATCTCTGTGGGCAAAATTGTTAGGAATTGCTCCAACACTAGAAGCTCCAGGATTTGCTCCTTAGAACGCAGCTTTGGCTTCAGCCATTGACAGCAAAGCTCCCAAAGTTTGTTGAAAGCTTCATGAGGCCCGGCTGCTTCTTTGTACTGGAACTGCCTAAAGCGCTGACGGAAGACTTCAGAGTCAGTATCATACTCTTGAAACACTGAGCCCTGATTCAATGAGGCCTGGATTGCACAACCCAGGGCAACAGCCATTGCCCACTTCCTGCAGTGTCCAATTTATCTGGGCCTAAAGTCTCAGACTCCAATTTGTTTCTTTGTATATTTCTTGAGTGGAGGATCTAAAGCTGAGGAAAGGTCAAATGAGAAAGGAGAAAGAGCAGTGGTTAACAGGGCATTCTTATCTCCCTTAATTGCTTGCTTTTCAGCAAAGCTCTAAAGTAGCAGACTGTAATAGTTTCATTGGTTTTGAAAATCTGATGAAAGCAATGGACTCACTTCCTAGAAAAATACACATAACACTTCAAATTCTGCATCCAGTTTCAAAAAGTTCACTAAAACTTCAAGACCATCCATGGGCCCTCTAGAATTGTTCTGTCCAATGTGGTAGACTATAGTCTCATGTGGCAGTTTAAGTTTAAATTATTTAAATATAAAAATTCAATTTCCTATTCATATTATTCACATTTCAAATGCTTAGTAGACACTGTTGCAGGAAGTTCTATTGAACAGCTCTTTTCTAGAATTCCTGGACCCAGAGCTAAGAATCTCTTCCCTTAAATTAACCCCTATATATCTGGTGGCCTATATCTCCACTCATAGTCTAATAACAATTTTCTTGTGTTTCTGAATATAAGTAAGCCGAAGAAGAAATACGAGGGAGCAGTACTTACAATAGAGGTGAGTAAACCTGAAAGTTCACCTAGCTTTGAGTAACCCTCAGTCACCTTCAATTACCGGCATCTTAGGGAGAGCCATGCCTTGCAAAGGCAGCAACTCATCAATCCCTCATTCTTCTCCACTTCAGGTATGTGTAGTTCAGCCAACATCACCATGAACCACATCATGCAATGCATTCCAAGTGGCTTTCTCATGCGAAAAATACACTACACAGGGCAGGCCATCAGGAAATCTGGTCTGCATTAATAATGAAGGACAGTTATGTTCAACATGCTAAGTGCCAGGTGCTGTTCCAACCCGTGTGTGTGTGTGTGTGTGTGTGTGTGTGTGTGTGTGTGTATGAATTCATTTAGTTCTCACCCAATGTTAGGAGGTGGGTACTAGTATTATGTCCTGAATACAGATGTGGGCACTGAGGTTTGAGGCTTCGGAGAACTGAATAACATGTCCCAGCACCCATAGCAAATGCCAGAGAGAAATGGTGATGAGGTTAGAAACTATAGACTCCTGCAATACTCATGTCTAAAAACATCCAAATGTCCTTAGTGCAATCTCCAAGGTCACATAGGTGGTAACATACATGTCTCCAAAGGTGTGAAGACTGGTACCTGCCCGTGTGCTATGGGTCCTCTCTGAATTTACCCACAGCTCACATACCTGTCTTCTTTCCTGGACGCGATCAAGGGGAAAACAAAAAAACAAACAAAACCCCGAATCTGTTCCTGCCTGGTCATTCAAAAGCTTCACTCTGTTCCCATTTCATCCCTGGGCTAGTTTCTTAAATGACACCCAGCGCCTCTTTGTAGCATCCTCTTCATAAAATTGCTTTTGAGGGATCCAACTGGATGGAAAGGGAACAGCAATATGCCCGGCCCAGAGACTGCTCTGCTCGCGAGAACTCGTTGCTAGAAAGCTTCTACTCCCCCGTGTAGGTACCTAAGGGTCGCTGGAGGGCATCCAGGAACCCTGAAGGTTTAGTCTGGGGACCCACCTTTCGTGTACTCCAGCCTCACAGCTAGGCAGCTCTTCCCTTACTGACCCAAACCTTACCCCACGTCTCCCACGATTGACCCTCCGCGTTTCCTCCCATCTGCCCTTCCGGATGAAAACTCCACTTCCCCTCGGGGCTAATGGCTTCTCTCCAAACCGTCCGGAATGAGCCCGCGCTCACCGGGCCGTGGATAGAGAGGTGTGCGGAAAGAGGCACTGGGAGTCGTGAAAAGAGGGCACTAGGGGAAATGATAGGAGGACAAATCCCTAAATGTCTAAAAGCCGGTTTAAAATCGAATGCTGGTGGCAAGGGCGCGGCCCCAGCGCTCTTCCAGGCGTAGATGTCTCGCTTCCTGGAGGGGCGACGCCAGCCTCAGAGGACCCCCGGGAAGGCCCGGCCGGGTTTCAAGGAACGGCACCGGGGACCCAGGCGGGACAGGGACCCGCCACCAGGTCAGGCCTGGAGGCTGCAAATATTTGTAGCCCAAAGGGAAAGG